CAGTTAAAGTGGTGTCAAAGCGGATTATTTCTGCAGTGCAGATGCAGCTTCACCCCATTGTTGGGAAACTGAATTCTGCATCACCCTCCTACCATCTGCCGCACCATCATCCCCAGTACCCATGGGGAGATGCAAGGCAAGAGCCCAAGTCATAACAATTGAATAACACAAGACTCCACCATTTACCCTTGTAACTATAAAAGTAATTAAAAATTATAATTAAACTCCAAACGGAGTGACACTGTTCCTCATTAAGTTGCTGTGGTGATGTAATACAGTTATGCACTTGTTATCGACAAAAGGGATTAGTAATAACTGGTTTAATCTTTGAAGGAGGGAAGAGATGCTTGAGGGATTTTTAAAACCTCAGGTTTTCAAATAATTTGGATACCATACATTGGACTTTGGGCACCATTTGTTACTCCACCTCAGGCATCAAATACCTTGGGTCAGCCCTAAAGGGAAGGGAGATTTTACTGTATGTTAGGAGAAATATTTTGATAATAAGGGCAGTTTGACCATGGAACCCACTCAAGGAAAAGGTGGACTATCCGGTGATTCTAAAGCAGTGATTCCCAAACTTTGGTCACTCAGATGTTTTGGATTGCAGCTCCCAGAATTCCTGACAGTTGGCCAATGTGGCTGGGGCTTCTGGGAGTTGAAATACAAAAAACATCTGGAGGACCAAAGTTTGGGAATCGCTGCAAAAGCTTCAGATTTCTTAATCTGAGCAGATGATTGGGCGAGAGAGGCTATAAGCCAACTCTATAATAATATTGATAGAGTTCAAAGATATTGTTTTGTTAGTCTGTAGAATCAGTATGTAGAGAGATCTTGTGGCACCTTTGCAGTTAGTCTCAAAGGTGCTACAACATCTCTCTACATATGTTTGCCTATATTTGCCCCCTTCCACCCAACCATTGGTTCCTAGCATGTTTTTCTTTCAGTTTTTCTGCCTGGTCCACCTTGGAAGAGTGTGCGAATCAGATTTTTAAGCAAAGGCTGTATCTAAAGGACATAGTTTAAAAGGCTTTTTTCTCCGAGACCAGTTCCGTTCTAAAATCTGCAGGTGTTTTGGACTCTTTTGACGGCGCCTATTGAGCTCTCATCCTGTTGCTCTATGTTTCGCCATCTGCTCTGAGCTGTCCTTCTGTTTGCCCTCTGTGCATGGCGTATGCCAAAAGTCTCTTGTAGTGTCTCAGGTCATTGCAGCAAAGCTGATCAAGAACAGGCAAAACTGAAGGAGTGCCTTAGTCAGCTTTAAAAGCTTTGGACTACACATTCTATTTGCCCCATTTAGCTTGGCCAGTAGTCAAGGATGATGAGAGAGTATATTTAATATTGGTGCTATTTTGGTTATGGTAATCATTTTGCACCAATCTCTGAAACATATTAAATCCAGGTTTTGTTAAATCAGTGTAAGTGCTGAAACCAGTGGAGTTATTTATTGGATTTTTTACTATTTAATTAGTGCTGAAATCAAAGCATTAAACAGGGAGATTGAGGAACCCTTGGGCTTATGTAACATCTCCATCAGAGACTAGCAATATGTCCCTTTGGTTAAATCATTGTTCCTTAATTTCTTGGCCATAAAATAAGAATGAAATGACCACAGGATTCTCTTAAAAACCATGTTCCCTCATTCTAGTTCCTCGGGGGTCTGCTGATGCTATGGAATATGTGGTCCTTCCAGTGTTGTTGGACCTCAAATTCCAGTATGGGCAGTGCAGAAAGATCTTGGAAAATTGCATTTGGATAGACATACATTTCCCT